TTATTTAAGCAGACTAACTTCACCGCATCTCTCCTACTGGGCTGTACTGAACTTAGTTATGGCTATTATAGGTAGTTGTCTCTAACACACTCGTGACACGCTAATAAATGAAAGAGACAAAACAACGTATTATGAATAAAAACAATTGAACATGCGTTTCATTTTTTGAATCAATATTTATAAATATAAATATAATCAAAAGTTTATATCAATTGTTATAAATAAGTTTAGGTATTATGTAATAACATACCATTACACTAGTAACTTTTAGCTAACTAGTTTCAGTTTGTTACAATAAAACAAATGTAATTTACATTTAAAACTACTGTTTTAACTATAAACAAAGTCAATAGAAATTGAACAGCAACTGCAAGGTACGCTTATGGAAACCCTAAAACCGATACTCGACCCTTCAATGATACGGTTTATGGTTTCACCTGTCTCACTTGCGAGGTAAACTCCAGTACGTTACCAACATGCGAGAACTAAACAGCGTGCCTAGTGCCTTTAAAGCCAGGTAAGAGGGACACACGCAAATGTGTAGGCGTCCGTGTCACGAACAATTGGCTCAGTAGTCTATATACCTGCGCCTAGTTGTTTGGTCTAGTTGCAAGTTCATTGTTCGACTGAGTTTAATGCGAGAAAGGTCTTAAAAGCCGCGGTCGCTTTTTGGAAATCTGGCCTTCGCTAGGCTGTGTTTCGTCTGTCGTCAACGGTCACTTACGACTTTTTAAACATTTGACTGAGTTTTGTTGTTGGCGTTGAGACGTGCGGTGAGTCAAGTTATAGTGTTGTGAATAGTCAAAAAAATTTCACGATATACGGGAACAAAGTGTTTGTAAGTACGTCTTTAAAAGCCTAATTATATTGTAAATTACAAATATTACATAGTTAATTGGATTTTCTTATATTCCTTTTCTTTTGGTAAATGTTTGAACTTTTTTCTATATATTAAGCATTCCATCTTTGACTATATCTTTAGTATAATTTAAAAAAAAAATATTATTTTAGTGTTAGTATTACAGTTATATTATTTGTAATGTTTGAACAACTTAGATCAACTTTAAGAGAATCCACTGTAACTTGTTAATATTTGTTACATAACTGCCGTTAATAAAAAAACCAGTGCACTCCAACCCTTAAGCCGCGACGCGTGTTAATAAGTACTATTATTTGATTATTTAAATATTAATGTTTTGCATAATCTATTCGTTATATTGGTTTCCAAAGTTTAACCAAAATCAATCATCAACATCACAACAACAACGTCATTTAACTTTTTTTATACATGTGTCTTCACTAAGACATGATGGAACATTACGGTATGCCTACAGTTTCAAATTTAATGACGCGGAATAAGTGATACCTGTATCTTATTACAAAATATGTTCCATAATAAACATATTTTATTTTTACGATCTAGCCTAACTTAAGACTAATACGTCATTTACCATAAGCCAAAAAAGATTTCTAATAAAATATACACACAATTCGATCTCCATAAATCTGTTTTTATCGATCATTGTTCGCAACACTAGAATAGCAAGCGCAGCAGTCGCCGGGCACCATGCGCACATCCGCTTGCGCGTTCGACTTCGCGCTCGTTTCCAGCCCTAACCGAAACTTTTTATCTTATTGAGTGATTAACAGTTATAGTGCTGTGTTTAATTTGTGCTTACCAAATTGTATAAATGTGATGAAGCCATATGAGCATTATATGAAGCCTTCGAATGTGAGTATCATATATCGTGTAATTGGATAAAGATTAGTGTGACATTGTTGGATTTCGAATTAAATTTTAAACCGCGTATTACGGTTTTGAGTCTTGAATCTGAAGGTTTTAAGGCGCGTATGTTTCAGTAAACTGCTACAGAAATTATGTTCTGAAGAAACAAAGAACAGACTTAACGCCATGCTTTAGTCATTCTCTTCAAAAGTTCACAATTTTTTGTCTAATACAAGAAAAGAGAAGAAAGCGCTAGCCATTTTAATATAGTTTTCTTTGAAAGAAACATTCCAAAAACGTTTAATATTGATGTAATAAAATAACAGCCTATAAAATTGCGTAGCTAACAATACTCCGTAACAAATATATATGAAATCAATTTTTGCATGGTTTTTAATTTGTTTCGTAATGTAATTTTTTTATCGAATATTTAATTCATGCAATTAATGTATTATATCTTTCATAGCTTTCGTATAAGGCCAGTTCAAGGTAAACATTAAGAACATACCGCCTACACTTAGATTAAAGTATATTTTTGCTTGTTATGTAACTCAAATTACATACTAGATTCATCGTACAAGTATCAGAACAGTGAACATTCTTAACATTACGTTCTAAACCCTTTGAGTTCGAATCCCAGTTACTTAACGGATTTCTTTCCGAAATTTACACTCTGGTCGTATTTTGAGTCTTACATAGAAAAACTAATGAGGTATATATAGCGCAGAAGGCTGATCACCTTGCCTTAAATAGGTGATAAGTGAAAAAGACGCGGGAACCTGGCCTTATGGCCCAAACGGTATTAAAACATATATAAAATAGCAGTTTAATGCTTTTACCAATTTGATATCGTTTTGAAAATAAAAAATTTAACAAAATATATTTACGTTATATTTACGTTTATGACGTGACTTAAAGGTAAATAACTTATGTATTGTCAACTCCGATTTATATGTATATTTATTCATTAGTTATATACTATATTATCTGCACTACATATCGCGCTATTACCTTTAACTTACTGTCTAATTAATACCCAGTTTTTATTGGTTCTAAATATGTATAGTCTCAAGATTTTTGCTTCAAACTAAAGAAAATATGTCGAATATATCTGTTCTCTCTATTACGAGATTTGTTTTAAATAAACATAATTGTAATAGAATGTTATTCTCATAATTCAAATTGCCATAATGTATAATTCAATATTCAATAACTACCATGACCTCGTTGAATTGTCTTTATTGTTAACTTTACAGGTCACAGATGTTCTTGCTTTGTAACATACAATATCTATGAAGAATAAAATATGTATTGAATAATAATCATAGTTAAAATTACAACTTCGTATGTATTTCAGAACAAAGTTCCGTAATGATTCATAGGAACTAAGGTTCTTAGAGTTAAGACTCTAGCTTAATGTTTAACATAATAAGGACATAAAACGACCAATATTTAAGCCTTGACTTGTTTAAGCTATCGCGGGATATGCTTAAAAGGAGTATTAAAAATATTTATAGCGCTTAATCACCAGCATCACGAGCACACCCTACATACACACCCTGACGTACATACCCTTACTTACACACTATCACACAACACAGCCGAATTAGGAACAACTTAGTAAAGTATATTCAATAATTTTTCGGGGTTTTCCTATCATGTATTCCATCTTTGGCTATATTTTAGTATAATTGTTTTTTTTTATATATAATTTATATTAAGCTGTAGGAATACGAAATAAATATGTAATTATAAAATTGTTTAAATAGCAATAAGATAATTTTCAATTTGAACGTTTGATTTTAAAACACAATTAAACCTAAGTACTGAAGTTAACTTGCCTTAACTCGAACAAGTCACGGGTCAGACAGGAGGCTGATCACCTACTTAGCTATTAAATTGATAAATGATCATGAAACATATTCAGAAATCTGAGGCCCAAGCGCAAAAAATTGATTAGGCGCCTCGATAAAAATTACGCATAGATTAGCCAAACATTGGTTTTAGAAAACCGAAAATTGTTTAAGCTATATTATTAGGTGTCGAAAAGGTCCTACTCTTCTCTCACATTTTCTATACTCTTTATTGTTACTATTACGTTCTATTTGTACTAAGTATTTGTATTTCATACAAATTTCTTATGTCTCGCACACAGTCAACATTATATGTTACCTCTAACGAACGACGTCATTATGTTAATGTTTATACGTAATATGAATACTTAACACTTATATTGTATATATTAAGGTGAAACATTTGTACTACAATGTATGCGTTGGGTTGCCAATAAAGGGCTAGTTTTTGTAGGTAAAGGTCGTTATTTTAGGCGGTATAATTCAAATCACGTTGACATATCCTTTAGTGAAGTTCTAAAGAAAATGTCAAACATTGATGAAAAACTTACCTCTATAGCAGTGTTTGTTAAGGTTTTCCAATTGGAAAATATACTAAAATTATTTGGAATTTTAATTTTATTTTTATATTTACATAGGTACTGTGTTTTGTTAACAGTTTCCTAGTAATTTTTTCCTAAATCCTATCTTTTTAATTATTAAAGTTTCTTAAGTGATGAATTCAATATTTAAATATATAAAATGATTATGTTCCAAAGTGCACGATTTTTAGTAAGGCTAAGATGGGCACAAAAAAGGTTGGGAAACGCTGCTAAGGATCACAGCTGAACGTCAGTATATTGCCATACTCCAAACAAATTACGCTCTTAATGATCTTAGATTATCGGCTGTCATTGAATGTATTAATTTCTATACTAATACATAGTTTATCTAAGCATGGTTCGTGTAGCGTGCTGCTTTCAAATCACGACGAGGGCCACCCATCCGTGCTGCTTTCTACTGATCACTGCATTTTCATTGCACTCACACTTCCTCATCTAATATTTACATTGAAAATATTTTATCTTTCAACAAAACTTCGTCCAGTACGATTTGCAATCTACTTGTAGCTTGAAGATTTAGTTTAAACGAAACATCGCAATGTTATTGTCTTTTTCAATACGCGCTTAATAAATAATGCATCAAATATTTTATAACTGTGTAGATATGCGTGCGCGATATGCGATGTGATTTGGACATTTATTTGGACTTCACATTTAGTTGTAGTTATTGTGAAAAAAAAACGCCTTTTGAATTTTATTAGCAAATGTTCACGTATATATAATTGCTGTAGTGTTATTAATTATTAGTGTTGTAAGTAGTTTTGTAGAGATTTGCAAGTATGTAATTCATATTTAAAAATTGTACCATTTCTTTTTCAGATTGGGGCGTCAATAGTGAGCCGGGCGAAGTGAGTGAACCTGAGGTCGGTCGTATGCGTCCCGAGGACTACCGCCTTGTGTTCCTCAGCTCGGATTCGTCGTGCCGTGAGGACACGGAAGACTCTGCCTCCACTGCGTCCTCCGCCGCGCCCCCCGTGGCCGACGACTGCGACTGGGACTACTTCGAGCCCGGCGCGGCGGCGGCGCAGCCTCCACCGTTACAACCACCTCCCAAACATACTCCACAAGACTGCCAACGCGCCTGCTCTTGTGGCGCTGAACCACGTTTCGTCGCCGTCCCAGTCCCCGTACCTGTGCCAGTCCCGGCTGCCCTTTGGCCCGCCTTACTCGCATTTTCGCCACAAACTCCGCCGACTCCCCATTGGAGCACTTACCCTGGTTTCCCACCCCTCGATGCCGCCGCTCTCGCTCGAATCACAACGGCCGCCGCCGTTGCTGTCACCGCAGCCGCCACCGCTAACGCTTTACCTCGAAATCGGCTTGAGATGACCGTCGAAAGGACTGATAAAGCAATACAGTCCGAATCGCAAACGGTCGAACTCGGCGATAGCGATAAGAGCGATAACACTATCGACGCAGTTCAACATGAAACGTCAGACGGTATAAAAGTGATCGCAGAGGACGACTGTCTTTCCGTTTTGTCAGAAGGTACAGAAGCTATGCCTGATCATCTGGACGCTGAAAAAGCTTTTCCTTCATCTAATGAGTCGGCTCAATCTAGTGATTCTGAGAAGGGCGTTGCGCGTAGGAGCTATGACCTAAGAAGCGCCGCCCCGGAGGAGCCCCCTACGTCGGACGAGGACTCCGATGACTCCGGCGGCGGGGGCGGCCAGTTTTCAAGAGTGTTTGTTGTTAATCCCACTTCTTCATCTTCAGAAAACGATGAAAACGCTGACAGTAGTGGAATTGATTGTGACGACTCTTATGACAAAAAATCTGACAGCTTAGAAGTGGTAGCTATTGAGCTTGCGTTACAAAACGATATTAACCTGCACGATTATCAGGAGGATTCTTGTTCTAATAATAATGTTGTTGTACTTCAATCTCTTAATTTTACTGAAGAATATTCCGTTTATCCGATTCAGAACAGTAGAATTTTGGACAATGGAAACCAACAAGTTTCAATGTTTTGTGATTCAAATATGCTCTCGAGTGAAACCAATGAAAAATATAACAGTTTTACTGAAGCAAGTAGTGATAAGGATCTAAGCAGTTTCGATTCTTTAAATCAAAATTCACAAAGTGGAAATTCCTCAGATGTTATTGAGTGCGATTCTTTAGATAATTCATTTAATTTCGATTGCAATATTAAAATTTCGGAATACTTAAATACGGAATCCTGTAATAATAACGCGGAATTACAATTAAGCCCCACGACAATACCGAGTGCTATAATACCAGAACCGGTTCCTTCGCCCGAACCTGCCTTCGAAAACTCAAATATATCATCATTGCCGCCCGTACAAAAAATTGATTTGTTTAAAGGTATTGAACGTACGCTTAGTGAATTATTGAAGAAAGAATTAATGGAGGACCGCGGTGAGGAGAAAACGCACATTTCGCGGCCGGTTTGCGTTGAGACGGAGAGGGGCGCGGGCGCACCTGTGGAGAATACAGTTTGCCGCTCGCGCACGGCCGGTGTGGACGGGTCCGCGCGTTTCACTAGCCGCGTTATGATAACGCACGATCGTGTCTCCGTAGTCACGTCAGACACGACGCGGCTAATGCAAGATATCACAGTGCACCACACAAACTTAGACAACGAACCAGACCCTAACGCAAGTGCACAACAAAACGAAACTAACGAACGATTATCCGACGACGAATTGGCGCAACCTTCAGCTGGAGTGACTGTTGTTAGTAACGCCGACACTCTCTCTGCAGTTGTGTGCCTCGAGGACGGACTCGCCGATGATGATTCTTGGGTCGACGACGTCAGCCATGACGATGAGGAAGCCACCTCTCAGTCAGATTCCGATTCAGGGGACGAAGCGAACTTACCTACCCGGGCAGATGATTTCGCATATTGTAGGCGTTCCATAGACTTCACATTACATACAATAGTAGAAGAAAGTTGTGAAGAAAGCGAGACTGAGCCCACAACAAAAAAGCAACGTCCTTTATCAACAACAGAGCTCGAAAAGTATTTTTTCTTTGGATTAGGTGACGGAAAAAATATTCGGGATGACGATGACCAAGTATCGGACACCTCTAGTGTGTGTAGTGAGGACGGTGAATCGATAGTTGATAGTGAACAACCCAGACAAAGTGGCGATAGTGATGAGCTTGTGACCTCTAGGTTAGAAAAATATTTTTTGTCCGGTTTTATGGGTTTCAGCCAGGAACGAAGGGATTCAGATGGCTCAGGAAGTGTGGGAAGTGACAGTGAAGGGAAACAGAGCCCGGAGCAACGACGAAAACGCCTAGTTCGTGCTCGAGGTACACCGCGGTCACATTCGTCATCTCTAGACAATTTACTCGCCGGTGAGGAACCATCACAAGAAAACCAAGAAATTTCAGATGGCTCAAGCACAGAATCCGATAACTGCAATGAGTCACTGGAGCGATTGGATTTGTCAAGTGAAACGAAACGGAAAAAACAAAATAAAAAGCTGCGAAGTTCGCCCGCTGACGAGCGGCGTCAGTCTATGGAATTTCCTGAAGAAACCCGTGATGATACGAGGTCAGTATCAGAAGGAGAGGATGGCCGTTCAAGCCCTCGACCTGAGTTCCCACCTCTTGGATCAGAACTTTCTGAATCAAAAAAACAAACTAGTCGTGATAGCGGTTTTGTTGGCAGCTGCGACGATTTATTAAGAAATGGCGATTCAAGTTCTGACTTTACAAAATCTCACGAACCTAAAACGGAATTAGAAGAAATAATAGAAGAGGTACGACCCGATACAGACGAACGCATAGAAAGAACACCCTCGTCACGCCCTCCACCGAGTCCACTTTCAAGGAAAGATAGTTTTAACAACTGGTCTTCAGATGAAGAAACAAATTTGATGATGACTAAAATGAGACAGTTTTTCAAACAAATGATTAACTCTACAAACGTACGAACATCTACGCCGGCCTCTTCGAACTCTGAAAGTCCTAAACCACCGAAACCACCGCAGTTACTTTATTTTGAAACTGAACTAACGAGATTAATGAAAACAGTTCCTGGAATCAGAGATGAAGAGGTGCGAGAAATAGTGGAGTATTTATCAAGCGAGGATACGTGGAGTGACTCCTACGATTCATCAGATTATGCCGGGTCTGACTTGGAGGTCTCAGCAAATCGATCTGCCTTGAGAAAACAGATATCAGATAGTTGTCGCGAAATTATTGACGAATTTGATAAAGGCAACAGTGAACAGGGTTCTCTTGAACGTGACGCCGTCGGTGCATACCAGAGACTGGCTGCAACTCTTGGTCGTGTGGGTGACGGTTCCCCACCTTTATTTGGTAAAGTGATGCGGCATATAGGCGGGAGGCTAGTGGCATTGATGCACGAGGTGTCGGCAGGCGCATCGCCAACCACAGATGACGATAGTGCGTCTGAACCGGGAGCGCTGGCACGAAGTCGATCTCATGATATTCTAGAACAGACTGCGAGTAGGGGTAGTGTCGCGAGTGATAGTGAAAGATTTTCGTGGCGTGGTAGCTTTGAATCAGCTTTATTGGCGGCTGACTCAAGAGGCACATTAGGGGGAGGTGGTTGTGAGACGAGGCGGTCCCCAGCCGGGGCTGATTTAGCCGCTCTCAAGACACACTCGAGGAGCTGTGGAGCGATAAGTGGTAGCGAAGATCGCTTATGGCGAGGACGGCGAAGGGCCTCCGCTCCAGATGCTGAGGTAAGATTTTCATTACATAATCGTGGAACAGGCAGGCAGAAAAGGAAGTCATTGCATGAAACATTCACAAACTGACAGACTCTTATTCATAATTACATAAACAAACATCAGCTGTTTCGAGTATCAATTATGTTAAAGCGAACAATGTAAGGACACATAACTTATACATTTTACACAAACAAGTATTTCCATTGCGTGTAAGTGTTGGCAATGTTTATTACACCATATTGATAACATTATCATAGATAGTGAAGTTAATAAAGGCAATCTATATCGATGATGTTTAAAACAATAGAATAGATTAAAATAAATCGGTAAAGCCGTAAAATGTTTTAAATGACTACTCACTAATTAAAAATCGATTTGCGAATTAACAACAGGGAATTTCGAGAAAAGATTGTATATTTAGGTATTCAAATTAAAGCATTTACTAATTAACTACTTATTTTGTAATAACGTCCTACACTACTGATCTAAAATTTCGAGCAACAATAACTTTAAAGTGATTTCTCAATTACCAACCCAATATAAATATCGTTATAGCCTATCTCCGTCTCCGTTGCTTCATTGATGACTCTAAGAGTATGATTCCAACTATGATTAGCATGTGTCAAAATCCAACATGTTTTTGACATCTTACTTAGACCTTAGTCTAGTTTCTCTTAGTTCATTTTCACCCTAAGAGCGTCTTAATTCGGAGGTCCTGGAGTCGATTACGATTGTTTTGTTTTCGACTATTGACTACACTATGAATGGAAAAACCAAAAGACCTAAAGGCTTTTTAACCACACTTATAAATGTAGTCATTTAAATAATTTCCAACCACGCGGGACTGTGCAATAATTTTTTTTTTAAAATTTAAAGGACGTACAAGTAACGTTACAATAGGCTTTATCGGGTAACTATTTACATCTGAATTTATTTGTAGATATAATTGTAAATATCAAATGTAACAAAAAATTCTGTATGTAAATCTATACTTTTGATCTTTAAGATTTGTAGCTTTAAGTTTACTTAGTAAATATGGCCGATTTTAAAATTTAAATTTGCCAAAACAATGCTACATTTTCTCAGTATCTTAGGCTATATTTATTGCCAAATATTATAAAAATATATCCAGTAGTGCGAAGCTGCGTCATGCTTCTATATATAAAATATATTATCTGCATACTTATTTAAAGCCTTGTCCTTTAATACTTACCTAATTGAATGACAACATAAATTACGTTACTAGAATATTAATTAACGCAACAATGGATTAGACAGTTTAATAAATTATATCACGTAATTGCATATGTTATTATTTAATGGGAGTTTTACATCGTTTGTCTATTCTCAAATGTTGTAATAAAGTACCACGAGCAAATTAAATAGGAAGGAAGGAAATGATTAAGACAAGATTAAATCAAGATTTAAAAAAAAAATTAGTAAACAACTACAAAAAAAAAGATCACAATAATGTGATCGAAAATGTAAACACAGCAATTTATAGTACATACATATACAGGGCCGGATTAATACTGTTGGACGTTTCCAATTTTGAGGGGACTGAGCTCTGGACGTGAGGGGTTATTTAAAAACACTTACTTCATGTTTTATATATATATTCCATGCTCTAAACTATTACACATTTATTACAATAATTTATGTTTATATATGACATGGTTGTTTCACTGTCCGCGTCTTAAAGAGAAGTACATTTTCATAACAGAAAACAATAATTTTATATTCAATTTACACAGGCATTCCAATATTCGAAACAATAAGTTTTTCTTCACATGTGACAAGTGTTGCCTGCCATTATTTACATATTCAAACTCCAACAAATACTAAAAGAGTTTACTTGGTTTCACAATAAATTTTTGTTTGAAAACCTCAACTGAAAATTTTTTTTCATTTTATTTGGAAAATAATTTTGGGCCAGGGGGCCTCCACTCCATTGTTGCCCTGAGGCTTCCAGAACTCTTAATCCGGCCCTGAAGACAACAATTACAAAAACGCAATTTCTTAAGACAATTTTTGCACCACCACTATGTGGAACCAGCTGCCCACTGAAGTATTTCCGAACCCATTCGACTTAGGGTCCTTCAAGAAAAGAGCGTACCAATTCTTAAAAGGGCCGGCAGTGCGCTTGCGACTTGCCCGTTTGCCCGTTTGCCTAAAAAAAACGATTTTAAAACGGACTTGAAAGCAGTATTAAACATATCACTTTGAAGAAGTGAGTTTTATAGGGATAACACATTCTTTGTATGGGGCCACGAAACCCGAACTTAAAAAGAGTTAAGAGGTGTTTCTTAGGACTTTATAATCTTACGAACATACGTGAGCATTTTTGATTGGCCGTCGTTTTGCAACAAAGTGTTCGTTGCACAATATTCGAGGCGGAAGTTTATGGATAAAAATCGATCACTATCAGACAACCAAAATGGTAGACGTTGCCATTTAGGGATTATTATTGGAAGCATTTCAATAAAAAGTTTTCTTAACTTGGATTAATTAGGTAATATAAGTTTCTGAATTTTCCTATTAAACTTTTAATAAAAACAAAGAAGTTCGTAATTTAGGAAAAAATAATAACTCCAAATAGCATTATTTTGCATTATTATTGTCCAAAAATAACATTATGTAGGAACTTATATGCTCTCAAATTTGCGTAGATACCTCAAAAACGACAACCGATTTGGATGAAACTTGGACCGTTCCTTTAATTGGAAAATTAAAATAAATCAGTAAAATAACTTAGTTTCCGAGAAATTTGTAAACAAACATATACATTTACGAAAACATACGTGCTTCGAAGTTTAAGAATGCATACACAACATACAAACAGCTGAAGTGGAGGTGGACAGGGCATATGATGAGAGAAAAGGACAAAACTTATCACAGAATGGTACCCTTTAGACGGAAAGAGACATAGAGGAAGACAGGCTAAGAGATGGGAGGATGACGTTAAGAAAATAGCGGGTTCAACATGGACTCGCACTGCAAAAATGAGAAAAGACTGGAGAGCTTTAGAGGAGGCCTTTGTCGGAAGACAAGTTGTAACCGAACTACCGTTTGCCGATAATTAATCAATAGATAGTAAAATTGTTAGTATATTAGTTAAACTCTAGTTAATAGTCAAAATGTGTTTTTTTAGTCATAAGTAAATTAATTTTAGGCACATGAAACTACTCTGTGTAAAACTTGTTAACAACAATAAAGGCTTATTAATTTATTTTATTTACGTGCTTCGAAGCCAAATGGATCATACTCAAAAATTATAATTTTTTAATATGACTGAAAATCCTCTTTTTTACTCGACAAATCCAAAGTAAAATTGAATTAAGTATTTTTCATACTCAAATGGACATGCTGAAGCTGTGCTGTCGCATTTAATTCGTAAATTTAAGTAATGAACGAGAGGTAATAATGGTGTAGACAAACAGTATAGTAAACGTACCTGCAACAGTTAGAAGAAAACGATTTCTAGGCAAACAAAAAGTTTCAAAGTTTTTCTAACGAGTCCTTACACGTTTACCTTGTCTGCTAGTTAAGTATTGTTATTTCCTACGACCTTAGTTCAAATATGATATTTTCCAACAGTCTGAAGAGGAGCAAAGGGCAGGGTCACTACCACGGCTACCATCTATAAACGGGGCTACCCCAGTCCCTGTGGGTCCTGTGAAGTCCGCCAGGTATCGTGCCCCAGGCTTCAGAACAGCCACCAGAGCAGCATCAGCTCCTGGTCTTCATGCACCTCGGAGAAGACGACCGCTACCCACACCTCAACAGCCACCTCCAGCTGCTCCAGCGTCCGCACCAAGTCTACAAGGTAAGCTCAGCTTATTTATACTTCATTGCCATAATACACATAATTATACATATTGAAAAAAAAAACAAAAAGTAAGTAGGTTACATAAGTAATTAGGCAACGGGCGGCCTTATCGCTAACAAGCGATTTCTTCCAGGCAACAATTATGTATAGTGTGTAAAGCCTTTTTATACTAAAAGTACATGCCAAGAACATTTTTAACTAAGACAATATGGCAGTTGGTTGTGCAAAGACTAAAACTATTACAATCATTTTAAATAGTCTATCGTAGCGCAAATGTTGCACAGAGATTTGAAAGAAATAAAAATTTACACAGATAGTTTTTGTGGGCAATACAATATAATCCACCACTGTCTCTAGAAACTAAGAAGAATATAACAATTGAGCCTTATAATGAAAAGAGGATTTATTGATTACATTTTTTATTAAATGTATTTTTGTACAATAGACTTAAAAGATTTGTAATATTAAATTGCTACTATCATAGTAAAATAGTGTATATATTTTTATTTAAATTTGATTTGTTTCGATAAATATACACAGTGCTTCTTTCATTAATACCTGATATTTAGGAAGCTGGGCTAAACCCACTGTAAGCACCAGCATCCAATAAGGCATTTTTAAGGGGGGCTTGTTTTCTTTGATTTTTGAGTTCATTAATTTTTAAATAGTTCTATTCGGTTTTGTTCTGCTGTTCCGTTGTCAAAGATAATATTTAATTTCCTAACTAAAGTAGGCATTCATATTGAATACAAACAACGGAAATGATAAACACCGGAAGGAAATTGCAATGACACAGTTACCTTCAATACGTTATTACTAAATTATTCACACATTAATTACCGAAATGACGAAAAAATTTATCAAATTATATATATTTTTAATTCACGTCATCTTGCTGTAAGTGAAAACAAAGTAAAGATGTACCTATGTTACATATAATAAAACAATAATTTTCAAAGTTAAGTAACTAAGTAGCTATGTTTTATTTAATTAAAACATTTTTAACTGAAAGTGCGCTTTTATTATTTTATTTAAAACTAGCTGATCCGGCAAACGCCGTTTTGCCATGTCATTATATCATTTATGGTTATTGTGCCTCACTCGACATAGATAGGTATAGTGTGTCGCAGACTTTTTTGTAGATATTTATAAGATCTACAATTACTTAGAACATTTTATGGTTCTATCTTTAATAGTTTAGGCAGGGTACGCAAAATAAGCAACTTTTTTGGTTGATTTTTTACACCTTGTGTCCGAAAAACCCTAATATCTTACGGAACCCTATTTTTGTTCAAAATTAAATATAGCCTATATTACTCGTGGATAATGTATGTAGCTTTCGAATGGTTAAAGAATTTTTAAAATCGGTCCAGTAGTTTATGAGCCTATTCATTACAATCAAACAAACAAACAAAGTTTTCCTCTTAATAATATTAGTGTAGATACACGATTCCAATGCTTAGCAGCAGACGGAGACTTTTACGTATAACTTAGAAGTAATACAATAATTATTAATTTATCAACAAATTCATATTTAAAAATATTGATTATTATACGTCAGTCCCACACAAAACTCATAAATGGTGTCTTCGCCTATTTAACTAACACTGCGTAGCAGATTAATATAGAGGGGATACCTTGATTTTGAACCCGGTTAAGTACCTCCACAAAAGTATGAGGCCCATAGAATGGCTGTGGCCGCCCGTGAAGGAGTGCAGGATCAGATTAGTAAAAAAAAACTTTGTTTGACCATCAGGGTAACAACTTCCTGTTGAGCGCGTCAGATTATAGGTAGGGTAATTACATCCTAAGGAGAGTGTATATTCCAATAACTAACTTGACAATTTGAAGAGTTACTTAAAACTAAGGGAGGGCACTTATGTTATTAGCTTGTAAAAAAACGTCAGTAAAAACTCAGACAATTCGTTTCGAGCGTAGCTAATTTTTTTTTTTTTAATTATTAAGTAAAATAATTCAAGAATAATTAAAAATATTAGTAATCTGACGATTTCCGCAAGCCGAAATAACAAAAAATTCGTCGATAAAAAAAGTTTAAATGCGTGCAGCTGCGATGTTATAGAATGCCTACATTTCCTTAAACACGATCGGAATCTACTCAAACGGCGTTCTAAATCGTCATTTCACCTGACTCAAAATTAGCATTTCCTGTGAATTTGAACCGATTTTCGTGACCGATAGATTTTCGAGAAATTTTGAAAAATCTTAAAAAATAAGAAATATTTTTTTATAAAGGGGTTTCTTTATCGATCAGTACTATCAGAAAGTGTACTGTAATCCGCCTTTGAGCTTGAAAAACCACGTCGATCGCCACCAAGCTGTGTTCTCAAAAGAGGTTGATTCGTTCGAGAGATATCTTGCCCCCCCAAAACGTGAAAGAAACCTCGAAAAGTGTTTTTTCCGGGATTACTCCGTAGTAATGTTTGAGATGGGGTTTCGATCAAGTAATTACTTTGCAAAAACTTACATATGAGGATGATAAAACTGCGTCGAATGCCGCCAACCGCGTGAAAATTTGCTTAGGATCCATTCAAACGAGCTTATTGCGGTTTGAAAATTCCAAAAATAGGTTCTGATTAAACTTTATCAGACTTTCGAGTTGCGAGAGCTCAAATGCATAGAAATATTATTTCTTTGAACTCAGCGAGCTCAAAATATCAATATTAGGCCCAGGAATGGAATTAGCGGGAAGTTGCAGGGATGGCCCCTTTAGGTGAACCGTTTTTCTATAATTTTTTTTTCAGAAGGCGAATCCCTTCCAGATAATCGTCAGATTATGAGACAGTTTAAGTTTAGAATCATAAAGAGTGAACCACTTAGTATCTTAATCTGACGTCGCTTGAGTATGCTTCAAAATAAGCGAATTTTTGTTGGCAAATTATGAAAATGGCCTGGGGTTTGCGTCCCATCGAAATCGTCAGATTAGAGAATGAGTGCTTTTTTTGTTGGTCTTAACACTCGCCTTAGAAAATCTGACGTTTCGATAATTTTTATTTTTTTTCATTTTCAACCCTTAAATACAACCACCCGCATTCATGCAAACGATTACAGATTAACACTGACGTACATTATTAAAAATACTGTGGAGTGCATTGATGCTATCAATATCTTGACGCGCTTCGAGGATGTCCATGCAACAGTTTTTTTTACATATTTAATAATCTATAGCAGATAACCCCAAAGCGCGATGAAAAGGAATATATGTCCTATAACATTTTTTTTTTCTTATTATCTAAGCTTTGATTATCCCAATAGGTCTCTAACGACGCTCGAGTAAATCAAACGCATTTAGCATCGTGGTGGCCCCTACTCATTATACGTCAGTCCCACACAAAACTCATAAATAATGTCTTCGCCTATATAATGCTAACACTGTCTTAGAATTTAATTTAGCAGGAAACTGATTTTGAACGAATTAGTAATAATATAAGTGTAATTTAAGAATGGCTGTGGCGGTTGTTGTATTGTTGGATATGTTAAATTAAACACTTTGTTTGAAGCTGGGTAACAACTGGCTGTTGAAAGCATGAGCTTATAACTAAGATAACATTAGGGGTAGTGGGGTTGCGACGCTGGATTAACAAAAACTAACTTGACTTATTGAAGAATTCTTAAATCTAAGTGACACTTATGTTATTAGCATTATCTAAATGATATACAGTTAGTAAAAGCTAAAAGGCACAATTGGTTTCAAGTGTGCGATTTTGTTTACGTTTTTAATTATTAACTAAAATATACATGTATCTTTACTAATGTTAGGTAACATAACTAGCTACTTAACAAAATTAATAATATAAATTTGTGTGTATACTTATAAATAAAATGTTTTTAAAATGTTGTGAAATAGCCATTGCGGAATGTGCGAATAAGTTATAGAATTTCTTCAACTTATTCATAGACACGTATTACAATGTATTCAAAATGCGTCTTATTTCTAAATCGTCACGCCTTTCCGATCAACCTGACTTAAAAAGTAGACCAAACTGTTCATTCACCATTTTCTTTGTTCGACATTCCTTCGTAAATAGCGGCATTTATGAGTCCTACAAATACTTGACTTCCATTGTTAATATAAAACATTTCTCTTATTATACAGTACATATTAGGAAGCCAGTGTATTGTAAACTTAAACAATTCTGCGTAGCTTTTAAAGCGAATTATTAGTGGTCCCTTTAGTTGTGTTCTTCATTACTGAAGGTTATGTTGGTGTTGCATATCTTCCCCCATTCCCACAAAAAATAAAGCAGCTAAATTATATCAAAATCACATGTATATACTTCCTTTATATAACATATGTAGTAATGTTTAAAGAACTTAATTTCTCATTACAAAAAAAATGTATTTTATTTACATGAGAAACTTAATATGTATATACTAAACGAGATACACGTCGCCATCAGCCGTCCCAATTTTAGCCTAGGCTCATTCTGATACGTATCTTTAAAGCGCTACTATTACGAATTTTAGACGGTAATTGATTAATTTATTATCTTACGAGTTACGACATTCAAACGAATTGTAGAGTATATGCTTACATTGAACCAGTAGACACTTAAGCAATACCAGCTACATGGTAGCTTTATTTAGGCGGGTTAGTGCTTAAATCGACCCCCATAGGTCCCACAATATTCGTATAATTTAAAAACATTCAACGCGTAAAACCAACCAACCGAAAAATACAAATTTATGTACAATTTAAATCATAAATCATCTAAGCAGTGAAAAGTTAAGTAATTAATATCGTCGTAATAATAATAGTCTTCAACAAAAAGCATTTCGGTCTTGACCGCGCAAGGCTATTGAAATGACATAAGATATTGCATCGCGGTCTTTTAAACGTAATTGAAACAAGGTACTTGGCATAGTATTTTGATTTCGGGTCATAACGTAATGCCTTTCAAAAGCTCCGAACCGGATTTCGATATTCCGGGTCGAAAGAAGTGCTTAACTATCTCCTACAACCTTATTCGTCAACATACATTACAATATAAGACTGACGTACTTGCCAATATAAAAATAAAATTTGTGGAAAAGTGCCCTACTGGCAATTAATATTATTTACCAGCAAATTTTGAAGTTGCACGGAATTCTGTTTAAATTCATAGAGTCTGGCTAATGAAAGAAGATAACGAAAAAGCGCGGCAAATTAAAAAAAAATTAGTATGGTTTCCCTAAAAGTTTGATATATTTTGTGGATTAAACTTGCTTGATTCTTGATTTTATTTTATTATTTCTTACATTGATAGTAACTGTATTTCTATGAAATTAAACCAAAAGTAAGCCATTCTCTTATCTCATGTTTGCGATTCTGTGTCGTAGGGGCTTTAGCTCTGAATCAGTGAGCTTACCAAAAGTTCTCACTTTTGCATTGACTCCTTCTACATCCTCCAGATTTCCTGCGAAAGAAACGATATATTCTATCAAATAAAACAAAGATTAGGCTATTATACCTGTTAACTATTCGGAAAAAATATATAATAGAAATAAAAATGAGTAATTGCATGAAGTATCAAGACAATCAATCATACTAACCTAAGAAATTCAATGACATTCTGTGTTGCCATCCGAAAGTTTTCAAATAATTCAATTATC